GCACCAAATACTTTAACCTGTTCACTCAACCAGAAAATGTAGGTCAGATTCAGCATCCGAAGCAAGCCCGGTAGTATGCATCCTTAGATGTATCATGCATGGAAGTTTGGTCAACATAGGGCTCATACTTACTTGGAATTGAAACCTGCACCAAAAACTTTAATCTGTTCACTCAACCGGAAAATGTAGGTCAGATTCAGCATTTGAAGCAAGCCCAGTAGTATGCATCCTTAGATGTATCATCCATGCAAGTTTGGTCAACATAGGGCTTATAGTTACTTAGAAATGAAACCTGCACCAAAAACATTAACCTGTTCACTCAACCAGAAAATGTAGCTCAGATTCAGCATCCGAAGCAAGCCTGGTAGTATGCATCATTAGATGTATCATCCATGCAAGTTTGGTCAACATAGGGATTATACTTACTTGGAAATGAAACCTACACCAAAAACTTTAACCTGTTCAATCAACCGGAAAATGTAGGTCAGATTCAGCATCCGAAGCAAGCCCAGTAGTATCCATCCTTAGATGTATTATCTATGCAAGTTTGGTCAACATAGGGATTATAGTTACTTGGAAATGAAACCTACACCAAAAACTGCACCAAAAATGTTAACCTGCTCCAAAAACATTAACCTGGTCATTCCTTTGCTGAAATTGCAGCATCTGAAACTTTGACTGATACAATGAAACACACTAGAACCATCTTCCATGCATGTCTAATCAATATAGGACATAGAAGTACTTAAAAAGAAAACTGCTCCAAAAAACTTAACCTTAACCTGGGACGCCGACACCGACGCCGACGCCGAGGGTATTACATAAGCTCCCCCAACTTCGTTGAGGTGAGCTAAAAAATCAAAATTTTCTGTTTTTTGAATACTAATAAGGACAATTTCAACAATGTTTAATAAACACTTTTTATGATCCAAAACAATCTATTTTTCAAACAAGAGGCCCACGGGCCTTATAGGTCACCTGAGTATCATGTAACAACTTTCCAGCGATTGTATTTGGTTCGTGTTTTAAGCCAAAAGCCATGAAATTCACAAATTTTGAAAGAGGCACCATTGCTTATCAAAGGGCAGATTTCAAAGCATTAATTTATTTTATTAGTCAAAGTGCCCCCCTGGTACCCCTGACCCAGCAGCCCTGAAATTATCTATTTTGACAGAGGCCCCTTTCTTCATTATAAGGCCAGCATTTTTTTTTTTAGGTTTAGTTATGAACATGAGAATAAAAAAGTCCCAAAGGAGAAGGAAAAAAAAATTTTTTTTTTGATAAATCAATTATTAACATTTGTACATTCTTTTTTTAATGCTATCCTAATAGGCTCCTTACCACTGGACACATAATGCTTAAAAATGGGAAAGTAGAACATTTAATTGCTTATTTCATCATCTGTCAGTTTGGGCCAGTTATATAAATTTTGTGATGTTGATCAAAATATATTTTAAAAAATCAATTCTTTAAAAGTCTTTCAATATATCTTCATTTTTTTAATATGTGTTAGGTGAATGTGTAGACATTGTTCTAAAATTTACTTGATGCCTAAAATTATAATTCCTATCATAAAACAGACAGGGAGTATTGGGGAGTAGGGTCAACATTTTTTCAATTAAGTGTAAAATAATTTTTCTGGCTGATACAAATGATACTACATGCCTGTATATATTTGTATATTCTTGCCTTTTAATAGTTGAATTTTTTTTAAATTTCTTCAGGTTATTGTTTATTTCTTCCTCAAATGGACTTCACTTCTCCCATAGTTTTATTCATTGCATCTGATGCATAAGCAACCCTTTTCCGAAAAATGGTGCTTAGACTGTAAGCTATAACAGAGACCTAAACAATGTCCCTGGCAATATGCAATAGCTACCACGGGCAGTTTAAAACCTGGGGGAGGAAAATAATTTACAGTTACTTTTGAAATGAATACATAATTATCTCACCAGCATGTCATTGTGCAACAAAGTCGTCAGCATTTTATTTGTCCTTTGAACGGGTGAAACGTTTTGAATGGCACTCTTATCGATGAATTTTACACTAAACCAAGCTATCTTCTAAGATCTAGCTTTATTTACCCACCGTTTCATCGTAAAACCGGAAGTGCGAGTTCGTAAATTTGAAATCTCGATCCCGACTCAAATTTGACATCGGAAAGAAAAAAATTGTTTTATTTTTTTCTGAAAATTCAAAACCTTGAGCGGAGGGTTTGTAAAACTGAAAATAAAATAAATCCTGGCCTTAAATATGTAATTAGATCATTAGCATATTAAACAGGAGCAAAGAAGAAGATGTTCAAAGCATTCATGCATTTCACTATATAATCATTAGAGCCCCACCCTAAAACAAGAACCCCTGACCCTGGGGCCATAAAATTCACAATTTTGGTGGAGGCACTCTTGCTTATCATAACTATGTACTTAATTAGTTTATTTAATACCCAGGAGCAGAGAAGAAGATTTTCAAAGAATTCATGTATTTTCACTATATAAACAATAGAGCCCCGCCCTAACACCAGAACCCCTGACCCTGGGGCCATAAAATTCAGAATTTTGGTAGAGGCACTCTTGCTCATCATAACTATGTACTTAGTTGGTTTATTTAATACCCAGGAGCAGAGAAGAAGATTTTCAAAGAAATAATGCATTTTCACTAACTTCTTATTTAGCCCCGCCCTAGCACTAGAACCCCTGACCCCAGGGCCATGAATTTCACAATTTTGGTAGAGGACTCATTGCTGATTACAATCATGCAAACAGTTTGACTGCTTGATGTCCAGGAGTAAAGAAGAAGATTTTTAAAGATTGCATTAATTTTAGTGGTTTTGGCCCCACCCCTCAGGCCCCAGGGGGGCAGGGATCATGAAATTCACAATTTTTGTTCCCCTTCACCCATAGATGCTTTGTGCCAAATTTGGTTGAAATTGGTTCAGTGGTTGCAGAGAAGAAGCTGAAAATGTTCAAATGTTAATGCACGACGCACGACGAACGACGCACGACGACGGACGAAAACAGATAGCAATAGGTCACCTGAGTTTACTCAGGTGACCTAATAAAAACTGGATATATTTCCATTCCTACCTAGAATACATTGAATCTGATGAAGAACCAAAGGCACCATCAACATTCAATGCAATCTGTTCTCCCTTGCTTCTGGCATAATGAGGACTCCTAGTGTTGATCGTTGCTTCAATCTCTACCTAAATTACATAGAAAAATAAAAATCATTAAGTTACTTTAAACTCAAGTCACATCACTGTAGAAGAAATAACAGAAATAGTTACTTTACTTCTCACTCACTTTCTTCTGAACTGGTTTAACTCTTGCAGTAAGAATGTCTACATCATCATAAGTCATTCTACCAGGACGAACAGGGTACTAGAAAAAACATAGGTAATCAGACATTAAAGAGCTCACCTATATTGTCCTTAAGTAAGTCAAAGTCTTACATTAAACTAATAATCTAGGAGTGTACATCCCAGAATCATTCATCTGTAAAACAGTGATGAATTCACAGATTGACCATTGCTTGGGAAAGGTTTTGAAACAAATTTTTTCTATAGAAAAATACAGGGCGCTTTCACAAAAATTAGGTGATGCCTTGACCATTATTTGGGGGCGGTATTTTTCACTATAAAAATATGTTGGGGGGGCGCTTTGACTAAAATCAGGGGACGCTTTGACTAGGACGGTTTTATTAGGGGGGCACCTTGAATGGATTTCCATATCATATAATCTATATTTTAAAGCTAACTTTAAAGATATGCATCAAATTTCACTTGTCCTACCTGCAGTAAGTATAATTTATCTGCAAGACTCTTGGAAATGAATACATCAATCTGAAAATAAAACATATGCCACACATTTTACTAATTTTTAACTATATCACATGAAAACAACAAATGAAAACATCAATCTGAAAATAACGCATAAAAGGTTTATCTGTGCACTTTATTATTGAATCTCAAGTAGAAATGATGAATCAATCATGAATTATTTAGTATGAGAGATAAAGAAAGATGTTAGACATTTTGGATGTAATGCAAAGGCCTAAAGAAAAAAAGAACAAGATAGGGAATATGATCGTTCTTCCTGATTGCAAGCTTTCAACAAATCAGAAACACTTTCACTAAATGCTTTACTTCAAAAAAGTATTACAAGTACATTGTAATAATTGTGTTTCAAATTTACTGTTTTAAAACATTGATGTTTGCGTTTTTTTTTTTTTGTCTTGTTTTTGGCTGGACTCATGAAATCGTTTGCAGACTAGTAAAAGTTAAAAAGCACTAGTCTGGCCAGACCAAAGCCTAAAAATATTAGTGTCGAACCCTGCTAAGTTACAAAGTATCAGAACATTGGTAAAAATTAATAAACAATATACATATATTTTAAAGATAAAATTATTGGTACAAAACTCATGTCATTATGAGATACAACTTAATTAATGCCCTTAAAGGGAGTTGTTATTTCATCTAAATGTAATACTTTTGTTTTGATTTTTAACACAGCGAAGTGCAGACAGGGTGATGGCATGTGGTGCAATAACTAATTTCACCTAAAACTATAAGTTCACAAATCTTTAATTAAATAGCTCAAAAGAGATGCATTTTACAGTAATGCTGACTAAGGTAAAACCCTGTTATACATGGAAACTGAAAAATAAAAACTTAACAAGCTAAAATAATTACCTCATGCAAAACCGGGTCGTCTTCCTCCGCCATGTTGAACGGCATGTATCCCTCAGATAAGTCGCCCTAAATATTGTCGATAAAGTATTGTTCAATGTCAGTAATTTAACTTAAGTGGGTTAAGATATCATCTATTTGATCTTATTTTGAAGATATGGATTAATTCTTAATAGAAACATCAAACCATATGGTAAAGTTATGTCTTCGAGAAAATAATATACTTAACACGTGAAACAATCTAGAAAGAATTGACTGACTCTCACTTTCATTTTTCGGAAGTCCTTTGAATTTTTCCTAGCATAATTGTTGTAAATATTATTCTTGGAATAAGGAAGCAAAACAACATATGATTTTCACGTGATCATGGACGATTCAGAGACAAGTCCGCTGATTAACAGAAGACCTCATTCAGTATGTATTTCAACACGTCTATACTATTTATATACTGTTAATTATTGCTGAAAATGGTGAGTTCATTCAACTGTTCAAGCTACATTTCATCAGTACTATATATATCAGTATATCAGAATCATCAGTGTTCAGAGGGTGTTGTGATTTGGACGAATTATATCAGGGACCTTGATTATCATGTATTATGATGTCCTTGATAATTTTTTTTTTATTTATTCACCAATCAACTAAATCAAGGGCCCTCTGGGAGCATATGCAATTATAGATGGAATGTTCCATCGTTAAAATGATAAATGTCCTACGGACCCGGTTGTGTGGGCTTTTACCGAGACACAGTTAGATTATTTTAACTAATACAATTAAGAAACAAACAATATATTCATGACTGTAACAATGCAAAATTGACTTGATCCTCACTTGTAAAAGCTCTCAGATTTGAAATACAGCCAGGTATAGTTTACCATGAAATATAAGCATCACATATGATATAATAATAATACAATATGAAGAAAAAGAAATACCAAGCTCCTTTACACTGCAATGACCAGGCGGATAATAGCAACAAGTACATGTAATATATAATATAAGCACGATAATGATTATCGCTTAATAATTTATGACTACATCAGTACATGTCAGCAACATTACCCATATTGTACTTAACCAGCCCTAATTATGAAGTATCCAGTTCAGTAAGCCATTGTAGCAGTACAATACTAGCATTGTTTATGCTGAAATGCTGAATATATATCAAATCTTAAGTTGATCCTGAGGTTTTAAATGATGAACATGATGAAATATGTCAAATCTGAAAGAAGGTTGAAATTAGAAGATATATTTTTATTATTTTATTCTTCCAGGTAATTAATCAATCAAGTGAGGAAGATGAAGATGATTCTGAAAATAAACTTAATTATACAACAGAGAAGGTCCTCTCTGGGGAATATGAGGTCTGTATAAGATACCCTGTAAAGCCATTGACATAAACTTAACTTAATTTATAACAAATATTCTAATTAGCTGACAGTTCCATTGTATTAACTATGTTTCAATATATAATAATGAAAGTAGATTTAAAATACCGTATAAGTAAAATTTTTAGCGAGGATTTAATTTTGGCATTATTAGCAAGGGTGCTGAGATCACTAAAATTGAATATCGCTAAAATTTAATTGCGATTTAGTTGTAATGGCTTCATTAATGAGCTATTTAATATCGCTAAAATTACTTCTCGCTAACAATAAAATACCCATTTTTAAGAACAAATTGCTAAATTTGCGTCTCGCTAAAGTTTCCACTTACACGGTATATTTTCTGTTTTTGTCATTTACATTTTTTCTACAATCCTCTTTTGTCTTTAATGATAAACTGTGTTATATTACAGAGTTTGGATTATGATAATTGTGAAAATGAGTTATATGAAATGGAGGAGAAAAAGAAGTCTGTCAGGGTAAGTACCCTACATTGTACTGTTTTGTGAAAACAGGAATGTTTTAACGACATGAAATGCTTATAAAGTAATTTAATAAGTCTTTTGTTTGACAGGACATTGTGGTGATTGAGATGTTAAGGTGGTTAGTCATGTTTTTTGTTGGAGTTCTGTTTAGTAACTTAAGTCTTCTAAAGTAATTTAGTATTGTTAAGTAACTTAATATGTCTTTTGTTTGTCAGGACATTGTGGTGATTGAAATGTTAAGGTGGTTAGTCATGTTTTTTGTTGGAGTTCTGTTTAGTAACTTAAGTCTTATAAAGTAATTTAGGTATTGTTAACATGGTTAAGTAACTTAATAAGTCATTTGTTTGACAGGACGTTGTGGTGATTGAAATGTTAAGGTTGTTAGTCATGTTTTTTGTTGGAGTTCTGTTTAGTAACTTAAATATTCTAAAGTAACTTAGGTATTGTTAAGTAATTTAATAAGTCTTTTGTTTGACAGGACGTTGTGGTGATTGAAATGTTAAGGTTGTTAGTCATGTTTTTTGTTGGAGTTCTGTTTAGTAACTTAAGTCTTCTAAAGTAACTTAGTATTGTTAAGTAACTTAATATGTCTTTTGTTTGACAGGACATTGTGGTGATTGAAATGTTAAGGTGGTTAGTCATGTTTTTTGTTGGAGTTCTGTTTAGTAACTTAAGTCTTATAAAGTAATTTAGGCATTGTTAAGTAACTTAATAAGTCATTTGTTTGACAGGACGTTGTGGTGATTGAAATGTTAAGGTGGTTAGTCATGTTTTTTGTTGGAGTTCTGTTTAGTAACTTAAGTATTCTAAAGTAACTTAGGTATTGTTAAGTAACTTAATAAGTCTTTTGTTTGACAGGACGTTGTGGTGATTGAAATGTTAAGGTGGCTCGTTATGCTTTTTGTTGGAGTTCTGACTGGACTGGTGGCCAGCCTGATTGACTACTGTGTCATCAAATCTACAGATCTCAAGTTCAGCATCATCAAAAAATGTATCCTTTGTTTAGGGTTTCTTTTCTTGCTGTGTTAACCATTGAATCAAAATTAAAAGAAGAGTTACAAGATGATACAAAAGAGAGGTTCTATGATTGTGATCAGTAAAAGTATATACATGTATATAAAATTTCAACAATTGACCTAATTTTTCCCTCATGGCTGTTATGCCTTAATTTTCAAAAAGCAACTAAAATGTCAAATAAAAAAGTTTAATTAGATATACTTTTACACAATAAAAATCAATCAGCCACCATGTATGTATTATTCATAAATTTTATGATGATTTGATAAATTTTTGTATGTTTAGAGAGCAAGTACAGTGTACCCTGTTATTTTTCTTAACGTTGACCTAAAGATATAGACAAATGTGTGGATGACCAATGTATGGAGATCCCCCTGTTTGTCTGGGCAGGGATCAATGGGGGTCTGGTGTTTGTTGCAGCAGTTCTGACAGCCTGCTTTGAGGTAAAGATGAACTGTAAATCAATGAATATATTAATGAATATGCTTTATTCTATATACATGTATGTTCAAAATACTCATATTACAGTAAACCAACTGTTATTCAAGTCATATTTAATTTGTGATTCATCCTTTTGAAATCAGTCAGTGATCATTACTTTTCAAGGCTGAGGAAATATTCTCCATGAATAAAATTCAAAATAAATGGTTTGCAAGTATTAATATTCACGATTAAAATTAGGTTGCAAAATTCATGGATATTACTAACACACAAATAAAAGTCGGTCTACAGTATACATCCATATTAACATGTGATTTGGTGGTTTGTAATTAATGTATGATAACATGCTTGATTATTATACCCCACGCAACTAGTTGCGGGAGGTATAATGTTTTTGACCCGTCCGTCAGTCAGTCAGTCAGTCAGTCAGTCCTCTTTTTTTGTCAGCGCAACTCCTCATAAACCGCTGCACAGAATTTCGTCAAACTTTGCAGGTATTTAGGACACAATGTGTAGATGTGCATATTACCAGGAAATTCCGATTCCATTATTTTTTCTTAGAATTTCCGCACAGCAATCCTGTAGATTTTAACTTAGGCATTTGGCCATACCTTGAATATAGAGATGAACAGTTTGTCAGCGCAACTCCTCATAAACCGCTGCACAGAATTTCGTCAAACTTTGCAGGTATTTAGGACACAATGTGTAGATGTGCATATTACCAGGAAATTCCGATTCCATTATTTTTTCTTAGAATTTCCGCACTTTTTAACTTAGGCATTTGGCCATACCTTGAATATAGAGATGAACAGTTTGTCAGCGCAACTCCTCATAAACCGTTGCACAGAATTTCGTCAAACTTTGCAGGTATTTAGGACACAATCTGTAGATGTGCATATTACCAGAAAATTCCGATTCCATTATTTTTTCCGGGACTTTTCGCACTTTTTAACTTAGGCATTTGGCCTTACCTTTTATACAGAGATGAACAGTTTGTCAGTGCAACTCTTCATAAACCGCTGCACAGAATTTCGTCAAACTTTGCAAATATTTAGGACACAATATGTAGATGTGCATATTCCCAGGAAATTCCGATTCCTTTATTTTTTCCGGGACTTTTCGCACTAAAAACTTAGGTTTTTGGCCATACCTTTTACATAGAGATGAAAAGTTTGTCAGCGCAACTCCTCATAAACCGCTGCACAGAATTTCGTTAAACTTTGCAGATATTTAGGACACAATATGTAGATGTGCATATTACCAGGAAATTCCGATTCCTTTACTTTTTCCTGGACTTCCCGCACTAAAAACTTAGGTTTTTGGCCATACCTTTTATTTAGAGATGAAAAGTTTGTCAGCGCAACTCCTCATAAACCACTGCACAGAATTTTGTTAAACTTTGTAGATATTTAGGACACAATATGTAGAAGTGCATATTACCAGGAAATTCTGATTCCTTTATTTTTCCGGGAATTTCCACACTTTCCAACTTAGACTTTTTGGCCATATTTTGAATATACAGATGAACAGTTTGTCAGCACCACTCCTCTTAAACTGTTGTACATAGTTTCGTCAACCTATGCAGATATTTAGGACATATTCCATTATTTTATCCCAAAGAGTTTTGCCTATTATTCAAGAAAATTTCTCACCCCACCCCTCCCCCACCCCAACCACTTCAAATTAATGTTTGGATTTGTATAATGCCAAGAAATTTTGATTCCATTATTTATCTAGAAACTTCATTCCACATTTAAATGTCCTCATATGCAAGACATTTTGATGTGAAGATTTTTTTGCAATTATTGCCCTTTTTGATCTATACTATGTACGAGGGTCATTCAAAAAGTTCGTAGACTTTTGTCCTAACTATTTTATTTAATGTCATATTATATCCAAATTTGATACAAATATTTTAACAACAGATTCAAATAATTTGAGTAAAAAAATTGGAATGTATCTTCATATTTATTAATATTACCAAGGATTTAGAACAGCAAAAATGGTGTCACGGAGCACCGTCAAAATTGAGTATTTTTCTAATTTTTACTTTATAGTATTTACAGCTGTACCTCTAATAAATGGAGCTGAAACGAAATAAAATTTACATGTTTAAATGAAGTATTGTTGTATTAATTAAAATGAAATCAGGTTATGTAGTATCTCGCTCCATTTAAAAGATATCAGCTTCTAAATACGTAAGGACTTGATTGAAAAAGGCAAAAAACCATGACGTTGGAGGACGTCACGGAGCAGCAAGTAGCAATAAAATTAGACTTTACTTTCGGGAAACTTTTTCTACAAGCTTAAAAAATCCTTTTAAACCAGGATCTGTATGAAAAATAATCTGTGTATTTGTATTAAATTAAAAATACAATTTTGAGTGGTAGCGAGTTTGAATCAGACGATGGATTGTCTGTAAAGAAACAGGTTAAAGATAAAAAATATTGTCAAAAGAGTTAGGAACGTCATTGAACATCATGTGTGCTTCAATGTTGCAGAAATAATAGAGCTGCATAGTAATTTAAAGAAATTGAAAACAATTATACATTCTGATTCAAGCTATATTTGTACAATTGTTAGCAAATTAGGTGTTAAGTGTTGAGGATATGTGTTTTGAATGGAGAAGACACTACAAACCGTGTTTGAAATTAAGAAAAATGAGTATACTTTTGACAAACTTTCTCAGCGTTGATGTTGACATTACAATATTGGATAACCGTGCTCCGTGGTAACAAAACATGTTGCTTTAAAATATGGCTAACATGAGTTCTATTTAATCAAATGGAATGAAACTTCACACTTCGACAAAATAAATGTTTATGTTTACGAAAATGTATTGATCTATAATCTTGTAATAATCATATGACGATGAGAAGCATTGTCTACGTATTTTTTGAATGACCCTCGTATTTAAAGTGCACTAGCTGTGCCTTTCATTATGTGTTTCACCGTCAAGTTTTGGGGGAGCGTGGGGTATGTGAGCTAGCTCACTTTTTCTTTCATTCCATTTATTCTCGATTTTAAACGTTAAATATTGTCTCTACTTACACATTTCAGCCTGTGGCAGCTGGGAGTGGGATTCCCCAGATTAAGTGTTACCTGAATGGGGTCAAGGTACCACATGTTGTTCGTTTGAAAACCATTGTTGTGAAGGTCATTGGGGTCATAAGTTCAGTTGCAGGTGGACTCATTATAGGAAAGGTTTGTATTTTAGTTAAAGTTACTTTAAAATTACAGTAAAACTCGTTTAGTACAAAACACAGATAATGCAAATTCACAGATATAGCGAAGTTACATGTATCTTGCATCCCCAGCTATGTAAATGTAATGAATTCCTTATATGGATATATAATGAATTACGGATATTGCGAAGTAATTTCATAAGTCCCTGTGATTTTGTTATAACCAAGTTTGACTGTATCTGAATTATAACCTTATAAAGTCACTTATACAATTATGATACATGTACAAATATGATTTCAATAAGATGGAAGCTCAGAAAATTTCCTTTTATCAATAATCCTTGTGTTAACCATTTAAAAGGAAGGACCAATGATACACTCTGGTGCAGTGATAGCAGCTGGGATCTCTCAAGGAAGATCAGACACATTCAGAAAATTTGACTTAAGGGTATGTGTTACCACATTTGTAATGGCATGTACAGCATTTTAAATTTGCTTCTTAAAAATACATGCTGTGATGTTTTTAAAATTAAGCTCAAATGTCTTTTTTATACGCCCGTCTTAAGACGGGACGTATTATGTTATAGGCTTCATATCCGTCCATCTGTCCGTCTGTCCATTCGTGTCCGGCTCATAACTTGAATACTATTAGGCCTAGGATTATCAAACTTTGTCAACTGATGCTTCTTGGGTAGACGGTGTGTTGCGCACAAAAAGTAGGTCGCTCTGACCTTTAATATGCTATAGCCAAATATGGAAAAATCCTGTCCGACTCATAACTAGAAAACTATTAGACCTAGAGCTTTCAAACTTGGCAAAAGTATACATCTAAGGTAGAAGGTGTGTCGCAGCCTATTTCAAGGTCACTGTGACCTTTAATTTAAGTGATTTTTTTTAAAAACTAAGTCTTTTAAATTTTAAATTTCATAATCCTAAAAGATGTAAAAATATAGTTGTATCCTTATTAAAAAATGTTAAATTAAGTAAAAAATTATTTTTTCATCATATACTTTACAGATATCTGTAACAAATGTTAATGTTTTGAGAGGAATTCAGTTTGTCCCATGGGCATAATTATCAAGCACTGGTCAAGGAAAATTTTGATAGCAGAAATGTGCATGTCAAATTAGAGAGAAATTAATGAGTTTATTGTCGGGAGCTAACTGGCAAGAGCATCTCTAGATCTGATCATGGAGCTGTTATCTTAATTTATCTCTTGGGAGTTGGCAAAAAGAAATGGCCTCGTAGTTGCTTGTGTTAATTAAGAGTTCTTGGTGGCTATAGTCCAGATAAAGATCTTTCAATTGGTGTAATGTAATTAAAACAAATTGATGTTTTAGTGTATGACTAAAACTAAATTAGTATTGTATAATATAATTAAAACTAATTATACATGTGTTCATTGAAAAAAAAAACATTTCATTTGTTATATATTTGCAACAAATTGCAGTCATGTCTCTCTTAGAATTTTATAGTCTAAAGAATAATTCATTTTTGATTTTTTTTATTAGACCATGTAGACTGTACATTTCCATTATTTCATAAAATATGCAATAAACAATTTAAAGCTGCAGATGGATTATTTGTTAAGCTCTAACTCATGCAGCCAGTTTAGAATTATATGATGTATTATTTATTATAATTAATCCCTACACTGTATGTCTCTTAGAGATGTATGTACAATAAACATGATAAGAAATGGAAATTAGATCATTGAAATCTGTATCAATCTATTAATCAAGGTTACTTGATTTTCTTGCACCCCAAACAGTTATGATTATTGAACAATATTTGACGGGCGTATCATGCTGTGGCGGGGCACTTTATTGATAAATTCCTATACATGTGCATGTAGATTACTGAGTACTTTTTCAACATGATCCTCATGCAGTATATGATATATACCCAGCTTAAAAAAATTATTCCCAAGAATAAAAAAAGGAACTAAATTGTTAATTCCCATTAGAAAAGGAAATAAAAGGTTTAAAATTCTCAAGAATATAAAAAAAGGTAATACATGTAAAATGTTAATCATGAAGAATAAGGATATGACTTTAAAAAACATTATACAATAATACCAAAATTAAATGATATAAATAATTTTTGAACAAATAAATGTATAAGAGAAATTGTGAAAATTATAGCTGTAAGTAATGTTTATTACAGATATTTGAATTTTTCCGAGCTGACACAGAAAAACGAGACTTTGTGGCTGGAGGGGCTGCAGCTGGGGTGTCCGCTGCCTTTGGGGCCCCAGTGGGGGGAGTACTGTTCAGTCTGGAGGAGGGAGCGAGTTTCTGGAACCAAGCCTTAGCATGGAGAATAGTAAGTGTTTGATTATATAACAAACATCTTATTTAGGCAGTTTTTCTGATGAAAATTGTATATATTATACAAATTATATATTTCAGTTTTTATTTGGTATCAATAAACTTTGTTGCTCAGTCAAACAGGCCATCAAAATGTAATTTTCATTACAGTATGCAGTAAAACACACTTAAAGCCGCTTCATCCGAAACACGCACATATTATCTTAAACAATAAAAGTATGTCATTACATAGATAATATGTAAAAATTAATTATAAGATTGATTTAATAGTTTATTACAACAATCCTTACATGGAAAACATAGACCAAAAACCTTGTTGACAAACAGCAGTTCCTGACGGGAAGTTAAGATCTGTTTTGAAGTCACCTTTGAAAAAATACTTTTATCAGTTATATCTAGTTATGAAGAGAATTCAAACCCGAGTATTTTTTTTCCATTAGTAGAATCCTAAGTCATGATATATCTTTTAAAAATTAAGAAATTAATTGAATATAATCCATAGTAATTTTTATGTTAATATGCATATTTAAAGAATAAAAGAAAATCAGATGTTTTTAAAGATTTTTTAAAAAGGGAGTTTAGTAACGAGGGCTAGAATATTGCCCATGTACACTTTGTTGTGGAAAAAATGCTCGGGTTTGTTCTTCATGAGTTATACATGTAAGCGATAAATTTAATTTTTCGAAGGTGATTTCACGCAATGTCAACAAATGTCAACAAAAGATTATTTTTTGTGTGACCTAACAAAAATTATTTTTTTTACTTTTGAATTTTGATATCTTTAAAAAGAAAAAGACTTTGGGGATATAATTTGACAAAAGTTGAAATAATTCATGGACAATTATTTTTCAAAAAGAAAAACGAATATATATTTTTAGCGATTAGAATTGGACCAAGCAGCTTTAAAGCGAACACGCTGATTGAATTGATGCTTATAGTGAAGTGATTTTTTCATTCCCCCCTTGACTTTAAAAACATTTGAACACATAACGGATATAAAAAAAAAAGCAAAATTGTCCGTCCCTGTCACCATGTTATAAGCATGTTTTACTCTACAGAATTTGTTATAGGAGTGGGTTGTAAAAATTACATGTACTCATTATAATGACATAATTATTATTTGCATTTTTCAGTTCTTTGCCTCCATGATGTCTACCTTTACCCTTAACGTCATACAGAGCTACATCAAAGGTCATCCCTGGGACCTCTCTTATCCAGGATTGTTTAACTTTGGTAACTTTGATGTAAGTTCTTTACTTATTGTCATAATCCCTCTCTCTCTCTCTTGCACTCTCTCTTGTGCTCTCTCTCTTTTGCTCTCTCACTCTCTCTCTCTCTCTCTCTCTCTCTCTCTCTCTCTCTCTCTCTCTGATTTAATTGATTTGTAAAAGTGTCTATACTTGAATGCAAAGTTGTTTTAATGAAAATGTACTATATTACTTACTTTTAGTTCTTTTTGTTTTCAGACTACATCATATTCAGCATTTGAAATTCCAATTTTTATATTGATGGGAGTATTAGGTAAGGTATACATGTGTACAGTCAAACATGAAGTCAGATAGAACTTTCGTATCATATTCCCTCTGGAGAATTTTTTCATTTTATTTTACTTGTATTCAATATAACTCCCTGTATAATGCAATTAGCAATCAACTTTGTTTAACACAAAGACAGTTTAAGACCCTGAATTAAGCTATGTTCACTCCTACTTTTGATAACAAAAATAATTTTACCCTTCCCCCAATTTGGAGATATAAATGCTTGTATTTTTATACATCATCGTCATTAAAGACAGTATACAGATATCTTAAAATTTTATGTGGCAAAAGAGGTCAACATAAGTATTCACTTAAACATGACACACTCTGTGAAATATTCAGTGCTAAAAAAGACTGTAAATATTTATGCATTATTATCGTTTACAGGTGGGCTTTTTGGTGCTTTATTCAACCAGTTTAACTACATTTTAACAAAATTTAGGAGAAGGCAAGTGATTTAATTTTGTTCTTTTTTAAAAACAAAATTTATCTAGCAAATGATGCCATTAAATAAGTAGAAGTGTAAATTTTTCAGTCAAAGTCTGTAACAACAGCATTTTTTGCATGTTAAAAGATTTTTTTTTTTTAAATCTTGTTTTTGTAAAGTTACTTAATTGTTGATCGATTAGCTTAAAATTTTCTATGATCAGAATCTTTACAGTACACAATGACATTTTTTTACTACAGGTATATAAATAAAGGTAGAGACCGAGTGCTGGAGGCCATGGTTGTAGCCATCATCACTGCTACAGTTGGCTTTGTGTCCCTGTACTTCAATAATAACTGTACTCCAATGATACATGATCAGGATCCCAATACTGTACAGGTATTATTATACAAATATGGACTCAATGTAGGTCAGTATGCATTTAAAATAACCCAGGATGACGGATATTGACCAAAGATACATGGAGTATATCAACTGAGGGTGCTAGGCCAAGGTTAATATTCTACATGTATCTGAAGTCAGTGTCATCCTGGGTCATTATAAATGCATATTGACCGTGTGCTGAGTCCATATTTATTATATTATATAATTTCCCAAATTTATTAGTACAATGTACATGTATATCTTCCTAATGTTTACAGAGATATTGATATGCTGTTGTTGTAAACCATAAATAAGTTGAATGTAAATGTTTCAGAATTTATTGAATGTTACTCACAGGCATTGGTTTCAGTAATAATTTTTTAACCTATAACATAATAATAATAACACAAGGTATCTAATTCCAAATAAACACAGAGTTCCCCTCCCCCAGAATTGCACTCATTTACACTTGCAGAGGAAATGCACTGACAAAATGTTAATACCTATGTCTTCTATGATAATTTGTCTTCACAACCATAAATGGCATGCTTGAGATGCTTGTCTTTATTTTCTTCAGTGCTCGCCAAGTGGAAAAGTTGAATTCAACCATGAAATGGTTTGGGCTAAGTATTTCCGAAAAAATGTTAACAGATATCCTTGTTTATCGTTTTGTATTCTTAGCCTCAGAGTTGTTCTTCACTTTATCTTTTAAATCTTCCTCACTACTACTCTCAAACTTGCGAACTTTTGTATCCATATTTGACTGAAGCAAAAGTGAAAAGGAGACAGCTCGTACAAGTCATTATTTGCTTTCAGTGGCCATCAAAAAATAACTCTTCGTATTGACCAATCAGATTACCGGATTTCACAAAGTTACATGTATATAATATAGTCAAATAATAACATTATACAGGTGTTGTACACAAATAACTAAAACTGTACAAGTATTACACTCTCTGAAAATAATCTACATTATTAGACTTCTGTTAAAATGTTTCTTATATAAAGTTAAGATGGTAAAATAACTATCTTTTATAGTTCAAGCATAGCAAAGCTATACCCCGGAGTATAGTTTTTGCTATCCACCCTCGGAAAATTTTCATGCAATTTTTGCCTCCAATTTTGATTTCCAGCAATAAATCTATTGACTGATGATGTCATAATGACTTCAGTAGCACTGTGACGTCATCAGGATTTCAGATTATTCTTGCAATATTATCTAACTCCAAAAAAATTCAAACCTCAGAAATTATATTATACATCAGTATAATAAAACGCTTATCCACTGGTTGTGAGTGGGATAGCTCTTTTATCAAACCCTTGACAGGAACTATTCCCCTCGGGCAAGCCCTCAGGGAATAGTTCCCTGTCACGGGTTTGATAAAAGAGCTATCCCACTCACAACCAGTGGATAAGTGTATACTTTACAGGATTGTACACAAATAACTGTTCAGGTATTCCTAACAATTAAAATAACCTATACTGTGCAGATGTTTTACAAAAATTTCTAACAATGTACAGATATTACATATAGCTAAGAAATAACACTGCATTTACGCAAATATTTAACTGCTATGCTTTTGAATATGCCCCAGTTAATGGCAAGAGTTCTGATTTTATTTTTTTTTTAAACCTCAATATTTCTGGTTATTCCTGATTTTTGTTGCCTTTTTCAGTTTTACTGCAATGATGGTCAGTACAGTTCTACAGCCTCCATCCTATTCCAGTCACCTGAGGATAGCGTCAAAAGTCTTTTTCATGACCCCAAAGGTTTGTCACTTTTCAAATAAATCAAATGCCCTGGATATTTCAAACTTATTTTGGAAGTCCCTACAACTTATTCTTTAAGTATTTTACCCTTGATATCAAAAATTTTTTCTAGGCTTTATTTACTTCAAGCAAATGAAGTTTGACTGTAGTTTGTATTATAGTTGAATCTAAATTTCGATATACAAGGAACTTGTTTTCTTTAAACTTTATAAATATGCACAATGTATTGTCAAAATTTTAATTTTTCCCATTTTATCTTGCTCAAAAAAGAATCTTATCCATGATTATAGTGTAGCCAAGCTTGCACTGACTCAAGATGAAGAGAATAACTTTAGATTGTTTCCAATTTATGTTTTGATAATACTTTCTGGCACAACTGCACACACCAAAAAATGTAATGTCAACTTCATCCATAAAAAGACCTACAGCTAACATTCTTTAGTGTGCAACAGTAATTCTGACATTGTTTTTTAAATAACCTGTTTTTTCAGGGACTTATGCACCAGCTACCCTCATTGTGTACTGCCTGTGTGTGTTTTTGCTGGCCTGTTGGACTTACGGACTCTATGTACCTAGTGGCCTCTTTATACCTGGTCTTTTAATCGGCGCTACCTGGGGACGGCTAGTGGGGATCAGTCTCAATTATATCTTCCCCGATGCGGTAAATTTTTTTAAAGAACAAAGTAAAAAATATTATGCTACATGTTGTTCTAAATTATCTTAAGGAATTGGGAAATAGGATAGTTCAAACATCTTATTTTGAATATGAGGAATGTTTCAAGCTGGTAGATCTGAGTTTATCATAAAAATACATTTCAATTTAGCATTTTGAACAGTTAATGGATGTCTCAAAATTCTGTTACACCATAGTCATTCTCAGGCTATCAATGTAAAGGTGAATCTTATGAAAGAAGATTTATCAATATATTGTAAATTGTAAATGTATATATACATTCACATAGATTTGTTAACATCTTGAAAATAAGCAAACTTAAAGTTAACTGATATAAAGGGGGCATTAAATGCTTTTTTTTTCAAATAAGTTGAAATTAATTGCAGATTCTTGGGTCTCCAAATGGTATAATTATGTGTACATGTACTGTGTGACTTATGGGTTGTTGTTGACTTGATTAACAATTAACACAAGAAATCGTAACTTGTGGTTGTCTACTGCTTAAAATCAGCTGAAAATTGTGTATTTCTGCTTAATTTGTTTCCTGACTGTCATATGATTGGATGTCTTTTGAATTTAAACAAAATTTTTTCATTATGTACTATAAAAGGAAAATAACAGCAAATGTCAGTCATTTAGGTAATGTTGAAGGGGTGTTTTATGAAAGGTTAAATTGGCATATCAAATAATACAGATTTTGTCCTAAGAAATGGCAGATTTATAAAAAAAAAATGTTTTTTTTATTTTCACATTTACTGATTCCCTGTAAATTTACAGCTAGAATTAGGAGCAGACAATATTTTCACAAAATACAAATATCTGAAATCATATAGGGTTTGTTCCTAAGAATATCAAGGGACCTTAAAAGCTAGGAAGTCAAACCCCCCTTCCCATAACAGGGGGTTGAGTGGGAATACCAGAATAACCAAATGTTAACATCAATATCTTGTTATGAGTCAGAATTACCCGAAATGCCAGCAAAGATCAATAACAAAATTTAAACTTAACAATAATTCATTTACAGTAATATACAAATCATTAAGTACAAACTTAGCAAAAATCTAAAAATACATACATCAGAGTGTCCGTTGCTGCACACAATGTCCCAGTGAAATTATATCCCAGTAATACCTCAATGATGCTTGTACGACAATGTATATCTATGCATCGAATTGACAGGGTATTTATACAGTATTATAAATCTAGAATATTCTAGAAATTGTAAATACATGATATTCCTGGAAAGTTCTAGACATAAACAAAGTTCAAGAATGTTCTAGAAAAAATGACCAAACATATTGACCACTCTGGAATGTTCAAGAAACTTAATGTTACTAATAATATACAAGATGAAACATTTATACACATCTCACAACAATCTGATTATATCAGGGAAGTTCTCCAGCCCGTGGGTTCTAAGATTTACAACCCTGTGAAATATAAATGCCCTTTGCAATTTTCCCACTTCCTACTTCCTCTAATTATCACCAAACTTTTAATATTTGTTTTTACACTCCATACAATAGGATATTACTTCTTTTTCAAACTGAACTATGACCCACTACTTTGATGACAAGAACTTATATGCTTTTTAAACAACTTTTTTTTGCCCATTGAGGGAAAGTAAATTTGATGTGTTCAAATAGATTAAAAAAGCTTATGAATCTAAATTTGAGTTTCATCTGGATTATCATTTTTGTATGAGGTGAAAGTCAGTGACAATGAATCATTTGGACTCATGATTTTTGGAAGTGCTCAGAGATAGGAATGATTTGGAAATGATTTCTCTTTAGATTGACATAAGATAAAATCCTTCCCAGAAAATAAAACTTCAGATCCTGTTGCTTTGTACATATTTGAGAAGCTGAGGCTTTGTAAAACTAAAAAGTAATTTTTCATATATTTTCAGGAATGGGTAGATTTTGGAAAGTATTCTTTAATAGGGGCAGCAGCACAACTAGGTGAGTAGTTTTCTTTCCTTTTTGCTTTTAGATAATGTCTTCTTCTTTATTTGAAATTATAAGATACATAATCTTAGATAATAATGAAGTCTGACTTTTTTATTTATAGGGGGTATTGTACGTATGACAATAAGTCTTACAGTCATCATAATGGAGGCTACAGGAAACATCACATTCGGTCTGCCTATCATGATTGTTCTGATAGTGGCTAAATGGGTAGGGGACATTTTCAATGAGGTAAGTTAACAATGAAAATCGGGGGGGGGGGAGTTGAAAATCAACATATTTGTAACATATCTGAATATTTGAATTACACAGAAAAATGAAAAAAAAAACACATGAGAAAAAAACAAATAATTGTATAGTGTATAATTATATAAAAACATGCAGGAATAATCAATCTTCAACAAGTTTTTCTTTTTTTAATAAATTATTTTAATTTACAGGGGATCTACGACATGCATATCCACATACAGGGTGTGCCCATCCTGGGGTGGGAACCGTCGTCAGTATTAACAAACCTGTCAGCCAGGTAGGCTCTGTTTAAATAATTACTGTAATATTGTGCAAGTATAAAGTGATCTGCCTGTCCATCAGGCCAAGAATTTATTAAAGAAAAAACAGAAGATTCTTTAATTTTTGTTCTATAATTTTTAGCTCTACTGGTCAGAGACCAGAAGAGCTTATGCGATAGTAATGCGTCCGTCGTCCGTCTGTCTAGCTGTCCGTCTGTCTGTCTGTAAACAATTTTTCAAAATGCTACTCCTCCTACAGTTTTGGTCTGATTTCAATATAACTTGGCACACAAGTAGACTACACTAAGATACATAATTCTGTGTATCGGTTTTTGATTTCGATGAACGGTGTTATCATGGTTACTAAAAATAGAAATTTCTGTGAAATTCTTTTAAAATGCTACTTCTCCTACAGTTTTGGTCTGATTTCAATATAACTTGGCACACAAGTAGACTACACTAAGATACATAATTCTGTGTATCGGTTTTTGATTTTGATAAGCGGTGTTGCTATTGTTACTAAAAATAGAAATTTCTGTGAAATTCTTTTAAAATGCTACTCCTCCTACAGTTTTGGTCTGATTTCAATATAACTTGGCACACAAGTAGACTACACTAAGATACATAATTCTGTGTATCGGTTTTTGATTTCGATGAACTGTGTTATCATGGTTACTAAAAATAGAAATTTCTGTGAAATTCTTTTAAAATGCTACTTCTCCTACAGTTTTGGTCTGATTTCAATATAACTTGGCACACAAGTAGACTACACCAAGATACATAATTCTGTGTATTGGTTTTTGATTTTGATAAGCGGTGTTGCTATTGTTACTAAAAATAGAAATTTCTGTGAAATTCTTTTAAAATGCTACTTTTCCTACAGATTTGGTCTGATTTCAATATAACTTGGCACACAAGTAGACTACACTAAGATACATAATTCTGTGTATCGGTTTTTGATTTCGATGAACGGTGTTATCATGGTTACTAAAAATAGAAATTTCTGTGAAATTCTTTTAAAATGCTACTTCTCCTACAGTTTTGGTCTGATTTCAATATAACTTGGCACAGAAGTAGACTACACTAAGATACATAATTCTGTGTATTGGTTTTTGATTTTGATAAGCGGTGTTGCTATTGTTACTAAAAATAGAAATTTCTATGAAATTCTTTCAAAATGCTACTCCTCCTACAGTTTTGGTCTGATTTCAATATAACTTGGCACACAAGTAGACTACACTAAGATACATAATTCTGTGTATCAGTTTTTGATTTCAATGATTAGTGTTGCCCTGGTTACTAAAAATAGAATTTTCTGTGAAATTCTTTCAAAATGCTACTCCTCCTACAGTTTTGGTCTGATTTCAATATAACTTGGCACACAAGTAGACTACACTAAGATACATAATTCTGTGTATCGGTTTTTGATTTCAATGAACAGTGTTGCCCTGGTTACTAAAAATAGAATTTTCTGGGAAATTCTTTCAAAATGCTACTCCTCCTACAGTTTTGGTCTGATTTCAATATAACTTGGCACACAAGTAGACTACACTAAGATACATAATTCTGTGTATCGGTTTTTGATTTCGATGAACGGTGTTGCTATTGTTACTAAAAATAGAAATTTCTATGAAATTCTTTCAAAATGCTACTCCTCCTACAGTTTTGGTCTGATTTCAATATAACTTGGCACACAAGTAGACCACACTAAGATACAAAATTCTATATACATGTATCAGTTTTTGACTTTTATGAACATTATTGCTTTGGTTACTAAAAATAGAAATTTCTGTTAAATACTCTCAAAATGCTACTCCAAATACAGTTTAAGTCTGAATATAATATAATTTGGCATGCAAGTAGACTATACTAAGAACATAAAGAAACTTAATCAAGGATCATTATTCTTTTTTTATTGTTCTGGTAAAGTTTCAATTCCCAACTGCTTAAGAACTTTTCTCTTCCTTTGCTTTAAGTACAAACCAGTAGAGCTTCAGTCTCGACAGAGGCTTCTGGTTTAGGTTTAGTCATTTCAATGAAGTTGGAGGCAATTTCAGAAAAACAAGAATTTTATCTGGACCTAAGTGTAAAAAAAAAAAATTAGATTTATCTATTTTATACTAGAGAGGTGATGAGTCATCCTGTGTCTGTTTTCCGAATGAGGGAGTCTGTTGGCAGAATCATGGAGGTTCTACAGAATGAGATGCACAATGGATTCCCTGTTGTGGAGAATTTTGATCCTGATATACAAAGTGTAAGTGTGCTTCTTTGGATTTCTTTAAACTGTCCAGTTTTTTAGCTCTACTGGTCAGAGACCAGAAGAGCTTATGCGATAGTAATGCGTCCGTCGTCCGTCCGTCTGTCTGTCTGTCTGTCTGTCTGTCTGTAAACAATTTTTCAAAATGCTACCCCTCCTACAGTTTTGGTCCGATTTCAATATAACTTGGCACACAAGTAGACTACAATAAGATGCATAATTCTGTTTATCGGTTTTTGATTTCGATGAACGGTGTTGCCGAAGTTACTGAAAATAGAAATTTTTGTGAAATTGTTTCAAAATGCTACTCCTCCTACAATTTTGGTCCTATTTCAATATAACTCGGCACACAAGTAGACTACACTAAGATACATAGAATAGTGCATCGGTTTTTGATTTCGGTGAACGGTGTTGCCATGGTTACTAAAAATAGAAATTTCTGTGAAATTCTTTCAAAATGCTACTCCTCCTACAGTTTTGGTCCGATTTCAATATAACTTGGCACACAAGTAGACTACACTAAGATACATAATTCTGTGCATCTGTTTTTAATTTTGATGAACATGGTTGCCGAGGTTACTAAAAATAGAAATTTTTGTGAAATTGTTTCAAAATGCTACTCCTCCTACAATTTTGGTCCTATTTCAATATAACTTGGCACACAAGTAGACTACACTAAGATACATAATTCTTTGCATTGGTTTTTGATTTTAGTGAACGGTGTTGCCATGGTTACTAAAAATAGAAATTTCTGTGAAATTGTTTCAAAATGCTACTCCTCCTACAGTTTTGGTTCGATTTCAATATAACTTTGCACACAAGTAGACTACACTAAGATACATAATTCTGTCCATCGGTTTTTGATTTCGATGAACGGTGTTGCCGAGGTTACTAAAAATAGAAATTTTGTGAAATTGTTTCAAAATGCTACTCCTCCTACAATTTTGGTCCTATTTCAATATAACTTGGCACACAAGTAGACTACACTAAGATACATAATTCTGTGCATCTGTTTTTAATTTTGATGAACAGTGTTGCCTTGGTTGCTAAAAATAGAAATTTTTGTGAAATTGTTTCAAAATGCTACTCCTCCTACAGTTTTAGTTCGATTTCAATATAACTTGGCACACAAGTAGACTACACTAAGATACCTTATTTTGTGCATCGTATTTTGATTTAGATGAACGATGTTGCCAAGGTTACTAAGAATAGAAATTTCTGTGAAATTGTTTCAAAATGCTACTCCTCGTACAGTTTTGGTTCGATTTCATTATAACTCGGCACACAAGTAGACTACACTAAGATACATAATTCTGTGCATCAGTTTTTGATTTCAATGAACGGTGTTGCCGTGGTTGCTAAAAATAGAAATTTTTGTGAAATTGTTTCAAAATGCTACTCCTCGTACAGTTTTAGTCCGATTTTAATATAACATGGCACACAAGTAGACTACATTAAGATACATAATTCTGTGCATCGGTTGTTGATTTCAATGAACGGTGTTCCATGGTTACTAAGAATAGAAATTTTTGTGAAATTGTTTCAAAATGCTACTCCTCGTACAGTTTTAGTTCGATTTCAATATAACTTGGCACACAAGTAGACTATACTAAGAAACATAATTCTGTGCATCGGTTTTTATTTTGATGAGTGGCAAGGATCATTTTTCTATTTATTGCTGATTTAAAGTCTCAAGTCCCAACTGCTACTTTTCTCTTCCTTTGTTTTAAGTATAAACCAGTAGAGCTACAGTCTCGACAGAGACTTCTGGTTTAAATACAGTGGAGCCTCATTTATCCGGACGCTTTGGTTCCTAGTCAATTTGTCCGGATATGTGAAGCGTCTGGATATCTGAATTACCAGTTAAGCAATACAAAATAACATTAAAAAATTCTGTTCCGATGAAAAGTCGTCCGGATACTGAAGCATCTGGATATCTGGCGTCCGGATATCTGAAGGTCCACTGTATACAAGTAGGAGTTATGAAGAGCAGTTTTGAAATTTGTACAATTATGCTTAATAATATGGAAGCAAAAGGTAATAATCAAAAGCCTGAAAGGCTTCAATGGCGTCGAACAAGAAAAACAATTTTAAAAGATCTGCAAATAGGTCAAGTGAGTGACTCCAGTAACATATAATAATAAAATTTAAAGCTATATATGCCGTATTAGTGTTTTATTTTAAAAGTAATAAATATATGTGGTGTCTCATCAAGTTATATAAGTTATATACTTTCTGCAAATAAGACAATTCCACTCCATCACTGTTAAAAGTTATGAAATATTATTTGGTAAAAATTATTTTCTCTCCGTGTCGGATAAAAAACCGCCTCTTATTGAAATATTCATGACCACGTTGTCTCGCATGTTTACAGCAAACAATGGCCCAAACTCGTGAATGAACGGAAAAGCATGATGGTCTACTACGTTTTTACTACAAACACGTGAGTTAGGGATTGTCAATATTGAGAGCACCTCAGAGTTGGTTGCTTTTTGTGCCGAGGAATAATCACGTGCAATTGTCTTTTCAATGGACATTTTCGGTTGGGTGAACTTCTACAGCTGTCAGCGACTATGGATAAAGAAGTGTGGAAACCATGTTGTGCCAAAATGAAATAACCAATACAAACAAATAATATAATTTGATCAATCAAAATGGTTATTAGATACATTCGATTCTGCATTTCTTAATGGTTCAAAACAACAAAAAGTATTCCACAGAATATCATGTATAAATCTGCACAATATACCGAATGCCAAAACCAGAATACTACTAAATAATATATTTATATTCTTTACATATGAACCACAGTATTTCTGACCCCTTGAAAATAATATAAAAAATCTTGCAAGTAGGTTATCAGCATTGGCTCGGGCTAATTCGAAAGTGAAATTTGGAGTTTGGCAGTAAATTGTAGTGAATGAATAAAATTTAGTAGTGAAAGATATTGGAACTTATTTTACTTGTCAGATTTCTTCGAGCTAGTTGATTTTTATTCTAACTGTTCTATCCCCCCACCCACTTTAAAAAAAACCCGATGCTACCTACCTGAATTAATTTTTCTTAATGGTGTTCATCAAAATGCTTGGTTGTGCCCTCAAATTGGAATAGTTTTTAGAGGCCTGGAATTCCTTGACAAATTTTATTTTATTAGCCCAACTATATTTCTAAGAAGGCAAGATGTATGGTATGTAAGTTTCATCTACATATGTTATGTAGTTCATTTTAAAAAGCCAAAAGGGATAATTGACGATATCCCATTCAGGGTGTAAACATAGCAGTTTAAATTACTTTCCATACATTGTATTTGACATAAAATATCTTTTGCGCATAATGCGCTCCACACTGAAGATCTGTAAATGTTCACCCAACCAAAAATGTCCACTAGCAGTACAGCACGGGGAAACTCTAAACAAACGGACCTGTACAATGGAGTGGGGAAAACTTTAAATTTTCATCATTGTTAATCATTTGTATGCAAATATGAGCATGGGATTAGTAGATAATAATGTACATAATGCATCAAGTCTTTCTGAGAGCGATTTAAAAAACTAGCCTTTTTGAAAAACACATGTAGTATTTTATGTAGTAACCCATAAATGCATTAAATGCAACTCATTGAGCTGATTGGTCTATTTGAGTCCCTCAATGAACAGACGTCACAAAAAATATTTTCCTCGACCTGATGATTCTCGCGATGCTTTTCCCGCGCACATGCGCAGATCCAGGATAAACGTCAGTCCTTTATAAATATGCATGAGAATATCGTGTTCTTTTCCTGACCAGTACTTTGTTAATACCGAATAAAATTTCGTCGAATTTGCAAGAATGCTTCATTTTTGGTAGCTTATCATACTCCAGAAATTTTTGTTCGGTTTCAGCTGTGCAAAAATACTGTTTAACACGGCATACATATCTTTAAAAAAAATAGTCTTAACACAAATACAGTATAGGGCCTGATAGCCTTGTGTCCTGGTCTGAATGAGTCAGGGTTCGAACTGACCAGACATCGTCAGAAATGTCCATCCTCTATATCAATCTAATTTCTTTTCAGTCAATCGAAGACATATGAAGGGTTTCATAAATTATTTTAATTAATTGCCATTGTCAGAGTGTTGTTCTGTTGTATAGTGATTGCATCTTAACTGCAACCATAACTCTAATGTTACAAGTACGATCGACTTACGATAAGCATGATAAGCGCGGTAAACAAATGGAGGAAATGGATAAATACAGTAATACTGGCATTACTGGTCAATATCGTAGGTTGTTCGGCTAAAATTGGATTGAAGATTGTAAAAGTAAAGCTAAGATTAAGAAATTCAATCTTTATAGTCTTGTTGTATTCGTGTTTATTTTGTAATTATTTTACCGTATTTAAGATTGTTTGTATTACAGTAATCGGTCCCAAAATGTGATTCATGTCAATCGACGCACCCTCTCAGTAGAAATTCATCCGCAACAACCATAACGTTTTTCTTGCGTAAAAATTAAACATAATATACATAATATCGTTGTTTTTATGGCTTACGAAGCCATATAGCTCCCGGTGTATCTTTACGGCAAAGAGTTCACTGTGTATTCTAGTAAGATAAAATAGTCCTCGTCTTTTCTTTAATTCTATTCTACCTTTGTTGTGAAAATTACTCACCAAGTTCTTAATCAAAAACCTTGTTATTTTCATCTGATTTTCGCTACTGAAGACAAGATAAACCAAATCAAAAAAAAAACTAAATTGAATAAACTCTTGTGAGGACGCGGAAGAATATCTTCTGACCGTATGTGACAACAGCGCCACCGTTTAGGTAAGTCGATCTAAATGAAAGAAAGAGGACTCTGTCGGGAGTACGTTATCGCGCCAGATAGTTCATAGGAATACAGATTAAATGTATTTTACCTTACAAACTGTTTAAACAGCTGCTAAAAGCAGTGATTTTCTAAGGCCGTTTTTGCATGGCGGTAAGCGATCACGATCTCCCGCCAACTCAATGTTGTGA